AAGTTTAGTATTTTCCTGATAAAATGATCAAGTGCATGTAAGAAATATACCTAGTTTACCTCTTTCGCAAATGATTATCTCAAACAGTAAGACAAACTGCATCAATGAAATCCGTATACCTAGGTTTAGCCCGACTGCAACCCTAGTCACTTTTTATAAACCTAATCTGGCGAACTTAATGACGTCTTCATGATAATGCCTGTCATAGTATAGAAAAAAGCTTGACACACGTTCATCGGGGTCGCAAGACGATGATAGGAAGACTTCTTTGCACAATACATCATCAGTCTTTCCTACGCGGTAATCCTCCTTCGATTCCCGGTTATACCACATCACGAATTCCTTCCAACCAACTTTTCTCTCGAAATGGAAAGTCATGTCACAATAAAGTACTAAGGAATTCTTCGAAACCAAATTTTTCATATTTTAATAATAATCTTCTGTTCGGATGATACGCGGACAAATGGTTGGCAAATTTTTATCGGGATCGATTGAAATTTGCTTGAAGATAAAGTCAACTGGAACGACTTTGTAAAGCCAAACAAGAGCTGGCCATGAGAAATTCGCCTTCCTCTTTTTGTAGAATCGACCTATGGACCTCTTTGTCACACAATTTCCCTCGAAATGGAAGTAAGCTTAACAATTGTAGACAAAGAGGTTCCTTGAGATTCAGTTTTATTCTATATTCTTTGTCTTAAGAAACGATTTTCTCCACGTAAAGTTAATACGAGGTGTATCAATGGTAAATGTAAGCCAAATTTAACAAGAGTTTATAATATCAATTGGCAAAAAGCTAACAAAAATAAAAGAGGAACTAGACCTATTTCAGGAATATTTATTCTTATACTGGTTGGCCAAGCATCAAAATTTAACTGCATTTTACGAGCACTTGATAATCACTCTACTAGTTTTTGTCTCTCGGAATCTTTCATATAACCAAGAGGAAAGTTTATTTTGTGCTAAAATTTATCATTTAAACATTTTAGCACATGTTGGCCGTTTTAACCAGGATTCGTTGCTAGCTAGTTTTACTCAAACTCTTCGTGGCTGTGATTACATACTTTGACAAAGTTGACGAGTTTTATTTTGTTGTCAAGCCTTGCTTTCCTCACTCCTGACATTGGTTGTGCAAAATGTGTAGGCTAATTAATTACTTCAGTTATCAAGGTTAAAATTGTTAATTTCTATTATCGGGTCTTAACTATAAGGGCCGATACTTTAGTTGAAAGTTATCGCCTTTATTTTCAGTTATCTGGTGATGGTTAGTATCCTTTTTCGAGTTTCGTCTGAGTTGCATAGTCGGTCATAATATTATTCAAATTTTCCGTTTTATATATATTATATATTTTTTAATTTAAATTTACTTAGCCTTACCTTCCATTTACTCTGTTTTTATCGACATCTCAATTTAATAATTTCTTCCCTAGTTACTTAATCATACTCGATTTTGTACGAGCCTGTTTTTCTTACGTCTACTTATTTTGTCTTTGTACACATATTTCCTATTTCATCGCTTCATAGCTATTCACTCTGGATCCGATGTTGCCAACTTCGATTCAATTGTGTGGCCTTCTCACCATGCAGACATCGCTTCACCTCAGCCAAATTGCTCGGCTCATCGCCTCCAAGACATTCGGTATGACCCAACTGCCCTTCACAATGGCTCAGATGCTGAAATGGCTCGTAGGGGGTGCTTAATGTCTAGCACCCGACACCATCGCAATCACCGTCTGCGTCTCCTTCTTCAACAGCTTCACAGTCGCCACAAGCAAGGGCGAGACCTACGGAAGAGTTTTAATCTGAATTGGCTGGCTTCGAAGCGCCTTCTATGTCTCCCAGGCTCTACACAATCGATTCATTTTAGATGCATAGGATTGGAAGAAAATGTAAAAAAAGAGCTGCAATTAGGTGGAAATAAGCTTTGTAACGAGAAGGAGCAAGAACTTGGAGGCACAACTAAGCTGGTTAAGCTCCAGAAGGCATTACTACCAGCACTTGCTAGACGCTGGCAGACCGAACGACGGAAGCGACTACTGAGCGGCATTCCATACTGTCTCAAACGGCAAATAGGCAGGTATAGACGACCTTCGCCAATAGTGAGACTCCCTGAGATGCTGCCTGCTCCAAACTCGGCTCTTTTCCCAAGACGCCTCGCAATAAAACACATAGCTTCAAATCATGCTACTCCTCCTTTGCTGGATGTTGGATTTCCCTCATC